TCTTTGTTGGCTCGTGTTTGGCTCACTTTAGCTTGAAATAAAAAAAAAATTATATTACTATTTATATAGTAATATATTACATATATTATTTATATTTATAGCTAAGCTTAAATCATAACATCTCATATGTTAATGTGGTTAGTGTCTTATCTTTTATACATTTGGTCCAGATTTGATTTCTACACTTTACATCTATTTTTTTTAATTTAATTTTAACGAGCCGAACACGAACACACTTCAAGAGCCGATAACACGTGACGATCAAGATTACTATTACAATTATTGACTATTTCAAATTTATAAGAAATGAATAGATTGAACTTATAATAGCTAGCTTTGTAATAGCTGAGTTTGTCATAATGTTAGCTTATAGTCAGAAGATGTGGGGGTTCGTAGCAAATAATATGATGAAGCTAGGCTTGTGTATAATATAACCTCCAAGTTCAAACAAGATAGATTTTAAATAAACAACAATGATTGTCAAATATGGACAACTAAAGTGCTACTATTATATAGTTTTATAAATTTATAACCAAACAATATCAACATCAACCCCCTCTGAATATCTAATTCTTTTCATGCATATATATATTAATAAGTTGGAGTTAATTTTCTCATTCTCAATATAATTTTGCCCATTTACTCTGTCTGCAAACAAACAGGGGCGAGCCAGCGAAAAGATTTTTGCTTTATTTGTCTAAATTGCTTAGATTTTCTCTCTCTGTTGTGTTTATAAAGTAATTAAATCCTTGTACGATATGGGACTAAAAGCCTTCACAACTTATCCTCACAACTTATCCATTCGCAATCCTTCTATTTTAGGGACATTTTCATACATAACACTTAATTTCATTGTACAAACTCAACACCTAAACTTTCATTTTTATATGTATACCTCTAAAATCATTCATATCACATAAAAAAAAAATGCCACAATTTTAATTTTTCAAATGTGAAAAACACATTTGCATGCATAAGAAAGGTGTTATATGTAAAAAAACTAAATTTTAGGTGTTAGATATGTAAATATATTGTATGCAAGTAAATCTTTGACAGTCAAAAAGATCACCATTTTGCTGCCATGGTATTGTTGCTTTGTTAAGAAAAAAAACTTTGGTTTTGCAAACTCACAATATATAGTTATATTAAAAAATTCTCTGCTATGAAGGTCTTGGAATGCTTCTACCCCCAATCTCCCCAAAATTCCCAAAATGCCCTTGAAACTCTAAAATTCCCAAATTCCAAAATTTGCACCAAAAATCATGTAGAACCAATCTAAATTAATTAAATTACCCAAATTCACTCTAAAGTCCCCAAAATTACCAAAATATCCCTACACCGCCAAAAATTACCAAAATGCTCCCAACTTCAAAAAATTGCCAAAATCCCCAATTTTACTCAAAACTTCACCAAAACCATTCTAGCCATCCAATTTTCCCAATTGCACTCAAAATTATCCAAATCTACCAAAATTTTCCAAAATTCCCAAATTACCCCTAAATTCCTATAAAATTCTGAAATCACCCCAAAATTCATCAAATCCATTTCCAATTCACCCAATATCAAATCCTAACACAATTTCATCAAATTCAAGCCTAATTTCAATCAAAATCAATTGCTACAAGTGACACCAACACTGACCATTAAGATTATTCAACCAAAGGTCGTTCATATTCTTGACGACAAGAAAGAATTGACAGAAATGGATGAAACAAGCTAAAGGAAAAAGGATTCCATTCATAGTGGATTTCCAAAAAATAATATAACTCAGTTAGTTGAACAAAAAGTTAAAGAAATAATGGCTTCAATGAGGGTCGTAGCGGGCGGTTTTGTGGTATGCATTGTAAATATCTTTCAATATTAAAATACACACATAGTAGTACTAATAGTAAATATACAGTTCAATCTCAATAAAATAAAATTCAGTATAAATAATTTTATCTTTTAAAATCTCTAAGCTGCCAAACCCGTAATACTAACGCAAGTCTACGTTTCGCTCAAGTAATAAATGGCTCTAACGGAGTCCTAAGTATCGATCCCATAGAGGGTTGAAAATTCTTATAGTTATAACGTCAAACACAATATTCAAACTATAAAGCTTAAGTAGGAAACTGACCAAAGGAAAATATATTGAGATTTTCATTCTTATTTTATACTGTTTTTGATGATATTACACTTTAAAGAAAGATATTTTTGTTGTTTGTTGCAGGAATGATGAATTAGGGTCATTGGTGCAAAAAGATGCAAAAAGGAGCGAATTTGGAGCGAAAAGGACTAAAATATGTAGAATTGAACTAGGGCGCTAACGGCGCCATTGACCCCTGACCAACCTTTTTTTGTAAATCAACAATTACAAGAATTTG